ATGATACGAACATTTCTATTCATCACCAAAGCTTTCTCGGGGAGATCACTGTTTGGTTTAGAAGAAATATTTGGTTAGCAAATATATGGTTAATAACAGAGACTTTGATGTTAGATTTCCTGGTTTTGAATCATGGTTCTGCCACTTAATGGCTGTGAAATCTTGGGAAGTTCTAAACTTCTTTGGTCTCAGTTTTTCATGTATAAAATGGGGGTGATAACAGTAACCTACCTTGGAGGCTTGTTAGTAGGATTATATGACTTAATACATGTAAAGGACTTGAGAGTTCCTGGCACATATAAACAGTTAGAAAGTGCTAAATATTATTATTACTATTATTAAGCCATTAGGGGAGGGGGTAAGCTCAAGACCAAAGTCAGTCCCCCAGTTCTGCTGGTCAGAAGAGTGGCCTTGATCACTGCAGGCTTTCTGTTTTGCTGAGCATTTGTGTAATGTTTGAGGAAAGTTGCTGAAGCCAGTTGCGGAGCAGATAACTTTGACACTGGCAGGAGAGGGAGAACTCATTCACACATGCAACAAGTATTTACTGAATATCAATTTTGTGCTAGACATAAAGGGAAATAAGATAGTCACAGCCCTTACAGAGGCTAACAGAAATAGAGAAAGGAGAGAGGAACTAGAGAGGCTGGGTACTGGCCGGTGGGAGGACAGAGCACTGGTCTGTGGGAAGACAAACCAGTGGGTTTGGCACAGCAGAGGAGGATCCTGAGAGAACAGAAATGCTAAGGCAGGATTTTAAAGCATCTGCCATAGGATGTATCATGTAAATCCTCCCCTCCACCTCTTCTATGAAATCTTCAATAAAGTTCTCATTGCTCACTGGAGAGAGCTCGAAGAAGGGAAGATAGCAGATATCTGGGTTATAGCTGCTGGGGGAAAAAGATGCTATAGGCAAAAAAAAAAAAAAAAAAGCCCTTCCTTACTCTTGAGTGCTGCCAGTAAGGAAACATTCTAGTGCATGCAATATTTAATGATTATAAATGATACCCCCGTGTACTGCATAATGCAAGGTTCTTTAAAATGAATATGAATTAAACAGTACCAGCAGCAATCATATTAACCAAATAGAAGAGGTATTAGGAAACTAGGGACTCTGGGAAAAAAAGCTGGGAGTCATATATGACCACCAAGCATCCTCACCGCAGTTAATTAGTCAAACTGCAATTCTTCAGCAATTGTAAGTTGGCAGACTTTCTTAAATGTAAATATCCCAAGGTTTAGGTGTGGGGAAAGAAGTCATTCACTGTTTATTTACTGCTCCCATCCTTTTTTGACTTCCTGTTTTCTGCTTTTATATCATGTCACTATCTTTTAAAATACTGCCAGGTGCAGTAGTTCATGCCTATAATCTCAGCTCTTAGGGAGGCCAAGGCTAGTGGATTACTTGAGCTTCTGGGCAACATGGTGACACCCCGCCTCTACAAAAAAATACAAGAGTTAGCCAGATGTGGTGGTGTGTGCCTGTTGTCCCAGCTACTTGGGAGGCTTAAGTGGGCAGATAACCTGAGCCTGGAAGGCGGCGGTAGCAATGAGCAGAGACCACGTCACCGCACGTCAGCCTGGGTTATGAAGCCAGACCCCCTCTCAAAACCAAAAACAAAACAAAAAAACCCAGTTTAAAGAAATGTCTTTGTGGCTGGGCGCGGTGGCTCACGCCTGTATTCCCAGCACTTTGGGAGGCTGAGGGGGGCGGATCACAAGGTCAGGAGATGGCGATCATCCTGGCTAACACGGTGAAACCCCGTCTTTACTAAAAATAGAAAAATTAGCCGGGCGTGGTGGCGGGCGCCTGTAGTCCCAGCTACTCGGGAGGCTGAGTCAGGAGAATGGCGTGAACCCGGGAGGCGGAGCTTGCAGTGAGCTGAGATCGCGCCACTGCACTCCAGCCTGGGCCACAGAGGCAGACTCCGTCTCAAAAAAAAAAAAAGAAAGAAATGTCTTTGTATATATACATATGTATATCTTTTTTTTTTTAAAGCAGCAGTCTAAGAAGTAATCAACCATCAACCCAAACAGAACAAAACTATCAATTTGCCTGAATTTCCAAGAATGAGATAAATAAAACTCTGTTGAATTTTACCTACACAAATTGAGACTTTTGGGGGAAAGAGAGAAATAAACTAGTGTTTTTCTTTGTAGATTTGTTTACTGTGTAAACCCTGCATCTTATAACATGACTACTGATTAAAAAGATATATGGTTATTAATGTTCTCAAAGCACTATGCAAATTCACATCACCTTGGGTATATTTTGCTCCTAAAGCTATCAACTGAATATGGAAGCATTTTGTAGTTAACAAGGCTAAAGTACGTTAACTCAAATAGCTTGCTTTGAAGAAAATTTTTCTTTAAATTATTAATATTAATGAGAAAATGCAAACAGCTTGGGTGGTCAAGCATGAAATAAAATGAGTAGTTTTCATTTTTAGGCCTTATTATCCGATGTCACCTGATGTTCAAATTTAAATTTGATAATGCAGAAAATGACATTACAATTTGCAGTATCATGAAACAATGCAGTTTGTGCCCCAGATTTTTCGACAGCAGTACTGAAACTATGATTTTTAAGTGTCATTTTTGAAAGACAAGGTCAGTGAAAAACACTATACATTTTTTATTGGGTAGTCAGAAAAACAACTTACCTGTCCTTTAACCAATTTTTTTTTTTTTTTTTTTGACAGGGGCAATGGCACAAATATGGCTCACTGCAGCCTCGATGTTCTGGGCTCAAGCGATCCTCTTGACTTCAGGCGTGCAAGTCACCATGCCTGGCTAATTTTTGTAGAGACATGTTTCGCCATGCTTCCCAGGCTGGTCTGGAACTCCTAGGCTCAAGTTATCCTCCTGCCACGGCCTCCTCAAGTGTTGGGATTACAGGCGTGAGCCACTGCGACCGGCCACTAATCATATATATATATATATATATATGATATATGATATATATATAGTTTTATTTATCTCATTCTTGGAAATTCAGGCAAATTGATAGTTTTGTTCTGTTTGGGTTGATGGTTGATTACTTCTTAGACTGCTGCTTTAAAAAAAAAAAGATATACATATGTATATATACAAAGACATTTCTTTTTTTTTTTTATATAATATATATATTATATATATATATATGTATTTCTTTTTGAGACAGAGTCTCCCTCTGTCGTCCAGGCTGGAGTGCAAAGGTGCGATCTCAGCTCACTGCAACCTCTGCCTTCCGGGTTCAAGTGATTCTCCTGCCTCAGCCTCCCGAGTAGCTGGGACTACAGGTGCCCGCCACCACACCCAGCTAATTTTTGTGTTTTTTTAAAGTAGAGATGTTGACCAGGCTGGTCTTGAACTTTTGACTTCAAGTGATCCACCTCCCTTGGCCTCCTAAAGTACTGGTATTACAGGCGTGAGCCACTGCACCCGGCCCACTAATCATAGTTTTAAAATAAAAACTTAACTGAGAGGTTGTTACAGCAAAGCAGAAACAAACCTAGACCTCCTTAAATGGATGCAGAGCTACCAGTGAAGTTCCTAACAAGCCAAGTAATACAGGAAACACATACTTACTTTTACTTTCTTATTAAGATTTTTTTTTAAAGCAGAAAAAGACTTTACAAACCCTTTTTCGCTTTCCAGTGTCTAACAAGCCCCCAAATGGTAACTATTTCCTATTCGCAGGCAGCTAGTAAGAAACGCAAGGTACAACTACGATCAGAGACTCAAAAAAATCAAGGTGGACACCAGGCGTGGGCTTCTCCCATTCTACCACCAGAAAGAGAGGAATTCAAAGAAAGGGCAATGAAAAATGCACAAATTTTAGCCACTTTTTTTTTTCTTTTCTTTTTTGAGACAGAGTCTCGCTCTGTCGCCCAGGCTGGAGCGCAGTGGCCGGATCTCAGCTCACTGCAAGTTCCGCTTCCCGGGTTCACGCCATTCTCCTGCTTCAGCCTCCCGAGTAGCTGGGACTACAGGCGCCTGCCACCTCGCCCGGCTAGTTTTTTTGTATTTTTTTAGTAGAGACGGGGTTTCACCGTGTTAGCCAGGATGGTCCCAATCTCCTGACCTCGTGATCAGCCCGTCTCGGCCTCCCAAAGTGCTGGGATTACAGGCTTGAGCCACCGTGCCCGGCCTTAGCCACTTGTTAACTGTAACTCCTCCTTAAATGTGACTGATCTACTTAGAAGCTTTTCGGCTTGTTAGTGACCCATTTTTTCCTTTTTTAGGACAAAGAAGGGAGGAGAGGGGAGGCGAGGAAAATGGAGGCAGTGGGGAGGTAGGGGGGAAAGAGAGAGAGGCCTCAGGGTGTCACAAATTTGTTTTTAAAAGATGAATTAATGGCTGGGCACGGTGGCTCACACCTGTAATCCCAGCACTTTGGGAGGCCCATGCAGGTGGATCACCTGAGGTTAGGAGTTCAAGACCAGCCTGGCCAACATGGCGAAAACCCCGTCTCTACTAAAAATACAAAAATTAGCCGGGCATGGTGGCGGGTGACTGTAATCCAAGCTACTCAGGAGGCTGAGGCAGGAGAATCGCTTGAACCTGGGAGGCAGAGGTTGCAGTGGGCCGAGATGACGCCACTGCCCTACAGCCTGGGTGACAGAGTGAGACTCTGTCTCAAAAAACAAAACAAAACAAAAAAACCTTAATGTCCTTGGGTAAACTATGACGTTTGTGTTAGCTTTTCAGATGTCCCAATATTTGCGTTGTTTTATAAGGATAACAAAATTCATGATGAGGTTAAGCAATTACTGAAGCTAGTGCTAGACAGTTTTTTAATTTAATTTTTTAGAAACAGGGGTCTTGCAGAATTTGTTTTATTTAATTTTTTAGAAACAGGAGTCTCGCTATGTTGCTCATGTTGGTCTCCAACTTCTGGGCTCAAGTGATCCTCACAAGCAGCTAGGGCTACAGGCACAGGACACTATGCCAGGCTTAGTGCCAGAATATTCTGCCTATTTTACTTTAAAATATTCTAAGTATGCTTACTTTGGAAGGTATGAACATCAGCAATGTGCCATCCTCCAGAAGAGGATTTCTACACAAAGACTCTCAAGAAACGGGAATTACTGCAAGGGCATACCCTTGAGCAACCATCACACTGCACTGAGCTCTTGAAAATATTCTGGAATATCCTGGAAGCATCTCTGCACGGCAGAGAAGTGAAATGCCACAGAAGCAGCAGCTTTAGGGAGGAGAAATACGGTTTGCCTCTTACAGTGCTTTTCTACACTGAAAGCTACATTCCTCCCGAGTTTTAAATCTGTGGACCGTTGAATATCACTCCGCCTTTCCTGAAGTTACAAATACCTTCCGTCGGTGGCGGGAATAGAGTTTGGAAAATTACATGCCTAAGACTTCAGATAAGCTAAATGACATACATGCAATAGAATCCCATTAAGAATTTATGCAACCCAGTCCATTGCATCTAATTACCCAAAGCACAGAAACTCTCCAAACTGTGCACCCCCCAAAAGGAGGGAAAATGCAAGGTTCTTGCTGCAGTTCCCGGGACACACTGCGAGGTGCTTTGTTACAAGTGTATCCAATGTCCCCAGAACCAGGGACTTGTGGGGCGCGGCTCATCCCAGCGCCACTTGCTCTGCAGCTCCCAGAGGTGGTGGTTGTGCTACGAAGGCTGACCCTGCCAATGGCCGACAAGATGGTGCGCACCCCTAAGTGCTCGAGATGCAGGAACCATGGCTTCCTGGTGCCCGTCAAGGGCCACGCAGGCAAATGCCGCTGGAAGCAGTGCCTCTGTGAGAAGTGCTACCTGATCTCCGAGCGCCAGAAGATCATGGCCGCGCAGAAGGTGCTCAAGACGCAGGCCGCCGAGGAGGAGCAGGAGGCGGCCCTGTGTGCGCAGGGTCCAGAGCAGGCCTCCGGGGCCGCGGCCGCCGCGCCCGTTTCCCTCCCGGGCGGGAGCCTGCGCCCTCTGCCTCCGGGGACTCCCTCCGGAGACGCCGAGCCGGGACCCGAGGGCCGCGCGGCCGCCTGCTTCTTCGAGCGGCCCCCGCGGGGCCGGAGTCCCGGCCCGAGCGCCTTCCAACCGGTTCTGGGCGGCCGCGGCCACGTGGAGCCGAGCGAGCGAGCCGCCGTGGCGATGCCTAGCCTTGCGGGACCCCCTTTTGGGGCGGAGGCCACAGGCAGTGGCTACCCCGGCCCCCTGGACCTGCGCAGGCCGCTGCGGCCCGTGCCTGGCCCGCCGTTCACCGACTTTGGTAAGTCGTGGCCTCAGTCCCGCGGTGGACTCCCCGAGCTGGCAGTACAGGCCAGCCCGGATGGGCAGCTGGCATAGGGGTTTGGGGTGGGGAGAATGCTTTCCACGGGTAACGTACCTTCTGCTTTAAGAAACCCTTCTTGGAACGGGGATTTGGATTGGGTACCTTTTCGCAAAAAGGAAACATAAGGGAATGGGCGGTTCAGAGGGGCTTTTTTTTTTTTTTTTTTTTTTTTTTTTTTTTTTGAGACGGAGTCTCGCTGTGTCGCCCAGGCTGGAGTGCAGTGGCGCGATCTCGGCTCACTGCAAGCTCCGCCTCCCGGGTTCACGCCATTCTCCTGCCTCAGCCTCCTAATAGGTGGGACTACAGGCGCCCGCCACCACGCCCGGCTAGTTTTTTGTATTTTTAGTAGAGACGGGGTTTCACCATGTTAGCCAGGATGGTCTCGATCTCCTGACCTCGTGATCCACCCGCCTCGGCCTCCCAAACTGCTGGGATTACAGGCTTGAGCCACCGCGCTTGGCTCAAAGGGCTTTTAACATTTAGCTGTAGTTTGTGCCATTCTGGCATGCAAGAACAAAATGGCGTCCAGTCGACTTAGCAGTGCTTCCTCCTCCGGGAAGAGGCCTCGAGGAGCCCAGTCCTACTGCGCTTGCGCACCTCTTCCCGCCATTTCCTTGGGCTGGAGGCTCCTCCTCCAGAATAAGAGAATTTTCCTGCCGGCAGGTTAGCGCAAGGACGACTGCGCCTGCGCCCTCTTCCTTCCCTGTTCGCGGTCGGGAGGCTCCTCCCCTCAGCACGGCCCTGGACCAGTGCGCCTGTGCACCTCTTCCCTCCCTTTCCCCGCGTGCGGGTGAGCCGAGCCTGCTGCTTTACTACACGTAAGAGAACAGTTGGTCTGTAAAGATATTGCCTTTCTTTTTGCCCCTCACCTGGTACATAAATTACATTGTTCCCTGTGCCTTGGAGCTTTCGGTATTGAAGTACAGTTTCAAGTCACATGTACATTTGAAGCTTTAAAAGCCCCGGGGTTTGGTGTGGACGTGTTTTCCTGGTGTCTCCCCATGGTGGTGTCGTGGGACGGGCTGAGGCCGAGGCGGGAGCCTGGGTCACGCTGGACAAGCTCCTGCCCTCTGTGTGCCAGGGCATTGGTCCAGAGGCTTCCGCAGGCTCGTCCCGCCTTCCTGACTTTCCAGGAAAATCTAGGTCCCCAGGGAACGCCCCATCTGATGGGGTCACAGGTCTGAAACCGCAATTCTAGGAGAAGCCGCCTTTCTTTGTTCCATCTCAACAGACAAGCAGGGCTGGGCTGAACTATGAGCCAGGCATTCGTGATGAAGGACGCGGGTCACATTTCTTACCCTCAGGGACCTTGTCCTTGTGGGAGGGACAGGGTTGATTGAAGAGTCACACAAATCGCTGTCCAGAGCTCGAGCCATGGCCGGGTTCACTGTTGACCCGGAGGAAGAGGAACTTGGCACGGAGGACTCGTAGAGGCAGAGTGTGGGCGGACGGCGTGTGGGCAGCGGGGAGCCTCAGGCCGGGGGCCCACAGCGGGCTTGATGGCCGTGCCGAGGACTCTCCAAGAGCAGCGGGGCTGGCTGGAGGACGGAGATGCAGTGAGGGCCCAGCGGAAGGAAGGGCGGGGTGGGCTTTCTGTGCTTGGACAGCAGCGCTTACGACTCCGCCGGCCTGTGCCACCCTGCGGATGCTTTTCCCAGCGGTGTCTAACACTTCCCTCCTTGCTTGCCTTCTTCAGGGCGCCCTGTGAGCATCAACCCGGACCGTGCACTGGGCCCTGAGTACCCTGGCGGCTCCAGCATGCACCCCTACTGCCCGTTCCCGCTGGGCTACCTGGACGCCCCTCCTGGCGTCCCCCTGCAGCAGGGCTTCCGGCATGTGTCCCGCAGCCAGTACCAAGGCGGAGGCTTGGTGAGTCCCACCCCTCATTTCTTGCCAGCTTCCTCCTCCTCCCAGCAGCCCCTGTTGCCTTGATGGATCCTCATTCCCAGGAAGCCAGCTGTCATAAACTGTGTGCCCACTCCATGCCAGCCCCCGAGTGCTGGTGGATGGCTTTAGGCACTGCCCAGACACAGTGTGTGTGTCTCTGGGAGCATACGTGTGGACCAGTCTGCACCACTCGGCCTGGGCTATGGCCTGTGCTTTTCAGGGCAGTGGGCTGAAAGACTCTGAGCATTCAGGGTGACCCCTTCCTTGACTGATGCTGATGCTGGAAGGGCCCTTCATTTTGCTGGACTCCAGAAAGGTAATATCACCTTACTGGGACCACAAAATTTAAGGCAGAGTCAGGACCAGAGGTAGACTCCCTGCCCACAGGTAGAGCACACTTGAGACTGCAGAGGGCTTTCAGGAGGAGGTGGCATTTGAACTGAGTCATGAAAAATACGGAAACCTTCCCCCAAACACCTGACACTTTAGGAAATACCTGTTGAAAGAATGAAATTTAATCCTTTTATAAGATTAGTAAAGGTCAGTCGTTAGCTGGTATTCTGTCTAAGCTGGGAATTTTGAGAACCGAGTGTGTAAAGTCAGTTCACCCCTGTGGTGTGTACTACGAGGCAGGTGTGATTGAGTTTTATGGCCTTGGTTACCAGCTCCTTCCAGACTAGGATGGCTGAAAGCCCTCTCTCTCCCTAATGAAAGTCATTAGCCGCACACTGTGGAGCCAGTCCAATGGGGCTCGAGCTGCACCCGGGCATGTTGGGCACACAGGTCACTGGGTCCTTACTCCTGCTTCAGCCTGGCGGCAACAGCTTCTCTTCCACTTGTCTTAGATGTTGTAAAATTGTGCTTAAAAATCATTTTCCACTGATTCAAGGGAAAAAAGTTTGAAAGCCACTGGCCTTGATAATTCCAGGGTGCCTATTGAACCTTCAAGGTAGGTGTTGTACCCCATTGTAGCATTGAGAAAAAAAGGCTCAGAGAAGTTAAGCTTTTGGCCAGGGTCACAAAACTGGTGAGAGAGAGACTAGGATTCCAGTTACACAGCTGGTTGGTGACAGAGCCAGGTCAGGTCTGGGGTCTAGGTGCTTTCCACTGCCCCTCCCTCTCTCCCACAGAGGTAGAACACACATGGCCCTTTACTCACACCAGCACTGCTGCCTGCCTGACATCTGTGGGCACTGCCCAGGGAGAGCCAGGCATCTCCAGCCTCCACACAAAGAGAGGGGCTCTGGCCAAGTAGAGCACGCTCCGTCTGCTCACACAGAAGCCTGGAGCCTGGCGTCCAGGGCAGGGCTCTGATTGACAGGCCTGCCAGACGGCCTTTGTTAAGAGTGTGATCTCAGTCAGTTTATCTGGGCCCAAGCTGCCACCACAGGCCCCCGGCAGGAGCTGTGATCCAGGGAGATGCTTGGCTGAGCAGCTCGGAATTAAAGCACTAATAATCCCCCTTCTACCCTCTCACGTCTGGAGAGAGAATCAGGCATTGATTTGTGAGCTGTTTCAAACCCAAGAGCCCCTGAATCACTTTCATCCTTGTCCTGCTGCCCCCTGCCAAGGCTTGGAGGTGCTCTCCAGAACAGCTTCCTCCTTCCTGTTCCTGTCCCTGCCCATCTGCTGCTGCTTGGCTCCCTCTGCTCTCCTGTTCACAGGACAGCACCGGCCGTGGAGCTGGGCAGACCTAGGGTCCAATCCTGCCTTCTCCATCGTGTCCCAGCCATGTGACCCATGGCAGTTACCTGACCTCTGAGGACCTCACTCAGGTCTTGGTCTGTAAAGTGGGGGTGGGAGGACCTGTTTATTAGGGCTCCTGAGTAGAATACATAAGGTGATGCATGTAAAATACCTAGCACAGGGTCTGGCACATAGTAGGTACTTAAAAGTGGGCTTTCTTCCCTTCCTGGTGGTTGAATGAAGTTCAACCAGGTTAGCTGGGTTAATCTAAGGAGATTTTTGCAGACTCTTCCAAGCCTTTAATATGCTCATGTGTGACCCACTAATGTGGGGAACAGTATATGGGGTTTCTCAAAGTCACTTAACAAATAACACTTTTAGAGTACTAAAAAATACTTTGTAAGACACCAGGACTCCATGAAACTCAGCTCAGGAAGTGTTGCTCTGAAGCATCTAGATAGAGAAGTAAACAGCGGAAACTACATCCAAAACTCAGTATTATTTCTTACGACATTTGTGTGTTTCTCGGTTAAGCTCTGAGCTGTGTAGTCATCCCCCCTCCAGATCCTGTGATGGGTCCCTGTGCTGTGGTAAGGGATTGGATTCTATCCCTTGAAGAAGGAACAGAAGCAGCAAAATGTTGATCAGTGAGGCCACTTGTCTGAAGTCACCCAGCATATCTTGCTTCAGAAACAGCTGCTCTACACCCACATTGCCAACCTCTTCTCCCAAAGGCCCCGCTGGCACTTGAGTTTAAGTGACCACATGTGCCAGACAGGGGGTCCTGTGGGCTTGGGATGCATTCAGACCCTTCCCCAGTGCAGAGCAGCGCTGGACAGCTGAGTGGGCTGTGGAGTCAGCCAACTTGAGATCCAGTTCTGCCCTTAACCACAAAGTAGCTCTGGGGCCCTGGGCCTGTAGTTTCATCTCACTGAACCTATTTTTTCATCTTTACAGCAGGAATAGTAATAGAACCCCCTCCTAGGATTGTGAGCACAGTCGCCCTGGCATATACAGAAGGGCTCTGTCACTGTGACTATTCAGCTGTTCCCATGCTTATCTTAGGTTGCCTGTATTCCTTCTTGCCTTCAATAATTTGGCAGGTGTTTGCTGAATGCCGCCTTCCGAGTGCCTGTGCCTGTGTGTTTGGGGCCATGCATCTCCCCATCAGGAGCCCCCCACTTCGGGGGTGAGAGCTATGTTTGGTCAGCCCATCTGGCTAACTCTCTCTCCACTCTGCTTCTCTGCTGTGCGTGCTGTGCAGGCATCAGAACCAGTGGGAGACTTCCAGCCAAGCTACTACCTGCCGCCGCCACCACTGCCGCCCCTTCCACCACTTCCACCACTTCCACCACAGCCCCAGTTCCTCCCGCCAGGCTACCTCTCTGCGCTCCACTTCCTCCCCCCGCCACCGCCACCACCGCCTCCGTCATCTTTCTCACTGACCGTCCTGTTTGATACTGACAAGGAGAACACTGGTGAGTGAGCTCCAGTCTTCCAGCTTCTGCCAGAGCCAGGGAGACTTTCTGGAGGAAGAGGTACCTAATCTGAAGAAAGTTTAGGTGTGGAGAGAAGTGACGTGGAATTTAAGGGTGCTGAGCCCTAGGATGAGCTCCTTCTTATACTCCTCCTCCAGTCCCCATAAGCACACACCTACGGGAGGTGGGAATGGGATTCCAGATGAGGAAATCAGGGCCTCCAGCAGTTCTCGTGGGTGTAAATGGCAGAGCTGGGATTTGAACAGAGTTCTCAGCCTAGCTCCCAGTCCAGTGCCTGTTCACTGACCTTATTGGCTCCATGGGCAGAGCTGTGGAGGACAGCAGGCATGTGGTGCGTTTGGAAGACTGGAGGTGCCAGGCCTCTCTGGCTGGGGTAGGAGAGCAGATGCAGAGCCTGGAGCTGCAGCAGGAGCCCGTGTGGTGGGGCTATGCCTCTGCCCTAGGCTGCTCTGAGGGAACCAGACCAGAAGCTAGAGAATCTGTCCTTCACAAGCTCTGCCACTGGGGCACTGGATGGTCCTGGGCACTGAGGCTTTTCAGCTATAAAAGGGGCCCCCTTACTAGGTTACTGTGAGGGTCGAGGAAACTTTTGGATGTGAAAATGTTTTGGGTTTTCTTTTGAGGGCCCTTGCAGCTTTAAAGCTTCTAGAACTTTTTTCCTTTCAGTCTTCCCCTTGGGCTCCTATGATTTGGAAAGAACTGACAAACTCAACTAGGCCTTTAAAATGACTGTCAGACCATCTTATGAGCTAGGGGAGTCTGGTGGTATCACCATTTTACTGAAGAGGAAACTGAGGCCTGTTGGACACTTCCTGTGTGTGCAGTGCCTAGATCCAGTAGCTGGAGAGGTGGTGTCATGTGGCTGAAAGCCACTGGCCCCAGTGCTGGGTAGCCTGGCTGCAGCACTTGCCCAACTGTGTAACTTGGGCAAGCTCATTCACTCTTTGGTGCTCCAGTTTCATCATGTGTAAAAGCAGAGAAATAGTGGTCCCTACCTCATGAGGATTCTGAGGATTAAATAGAACCTGAAGTGATGAAGGCATTGGTGAAGGTGGCCTATCACTGTGTTTCACTTAGTACCCTTGCTGCCATTGCAAGGTGGATACGTCTTGTTTTTCAGAAGGGGAAGCTGAGGTTCAGAGCTGTGGAGTATCTTGCTCATTCCTCCCAGCTTGGGAGGAGCAGAGCAAGAGCTGGAACTTGAATCTGAATCACATGGCCAAGGCTAGGATTCCAGGCTCCTGACACCTAACGAATTAAAGAAAATTCATTCTCTCCTAGGGCTGGGTATGATGAGAAAGGCTTATGGAAAATCTATATCTGGGCTAGGCACCGTGACTCACACCTGTAATCCCAGCACTGTGGGGAGGGCAAGGTGGGTGGATCACCTGAAGTCAGGAGTTCAAGACCAGCCTGGCCAACATGGGGCAACCCCATCTCTGCTAAAAATACAAAAATTAACTGGGTGTGTTGGTGGGTACCTGTAATCCCAGCTACTCAGGAGGCTGAGGCAGGAGAATCGCTTGAACCTGGGAGGTGGAGGTTGCAGTGAGCCGAGCCTGGGCGACGGAGAGAGACTCCGTCTCAAAAAAATAAAATAAAATAAATTAAAATAAAATAAGAAAAAAAAAGAAAATCTTCATCTGCAAATAGGTAGTCATTTTCCCTCTTTCTGAATCCAGCTGCCTTCTTTGTCTTTCACAGATGATCAGGATGCAGAGGTGCCAGCGGGTGAGCCCAGCCAGCCATCGTCTCAGGAGCAGTCCGACTAGGCCCCAGGCCTGCCCTCCAGGCCAGCAGAGTGGGGCACTGGGGGGCGACAGCAACAGTTTTCTTGTCTTCATTCAGTGATGTGTGGGAGGAAGGAGGTTGATAGCATAGATGGCAACTGATTCCCAGTTCAATATAGGAGGAAGGAGGGCGATTTCTAAGTTTCAGTTCTGTGCTGTACAGTTGAAGAGGAGTATGGAGGAAGTTATTACTGGGGAAGGACCAGGGCTCTGAGGAGTGGGCGCTGGGAGAAGCTCCCATTTAGGAATGAATTTAACTGTCCTTGGGTTGCACTGCCGTTTATTGGAACAAGCCCCAGAGGCAGTATTTGATTTCCTCAGGCCCCACTCCAGGACAGAAGGCATCATCTATTTCAGCCTTCTGCTGCCTTTGCCTGGTCCTCCAGGGCACTGGGGGCACCACAGACATCGAGATTCCAGTTCATCCAGGTGGCTGGAGCCAGCAGCCAGGACCAGGGTCGTTGACAGCAGGTTCTGCAGCGTCCTGCCTTGCTGCTCTGTCCCCTACATCTTCCTGACCACAGCCCCTTGCCCCTTCTCTAAGGGGTTTTACTAGCAAGCATCCTGGCTGCTGGGGCTACTTCATTCCCCCTCCATAAAGTTTCAGCCATTATGGGCATTGGTTTTAAAAAATTTATTAGTTTGACTATTTGATGTTTTTATAGTGATTGCCAACTTTAAAAAGTAGGCTGTTCATAAGCACTGATGCAGTCCCTAGGGAATAGAATGGTGCCTCTGATCGCCTGTGACATGAATAGTTTCTTCTCTGAGGACAGTTGGCTATTGAAATAAAATGAGCAATGGAAATCCTGGTGGAAGGCTTATTCTCCCTTTGGTCCTGGTGGAAGGCAGGGTTGGCAGGAGCCTGGGTTGGGGAGATTGGGGGCCTGGGTTTGTGGCCTGTGGCTGGCCTTGATTGCACTTGCTTAGGCATGCCCTCCCCGTTCTACCTCCCCCTTCTTTATCAAGTGAGGGGATTGGGCCAGGCTAGTAGACTTCTTTATTATTACTGCTGTTATTTTAAGCAGTAGAGACCTTTTAAAGAAATCTGATGCAGACACACAAAATGTAAAGATGTCTTAGTTTCCTTCCTCCAGCTCCTTCCATAGTCCCTGCATAGGAACATGCGTTTAAAAAAAAACAGAACTTGAACCAATTCTGTTTTAGGGTCCTGAGCTTCTTTCCTTGGTTGCATTTATACCTTCATTTAGAAGACATCCTGTGTCTCTACTAGATTAAGAACCTGACAGTCCCTAGCTCTGCCCATGAGATACATGACATCTAGTTGGAGAGACAGAGAGTTTTAGGGGATTCATACTAGAACACAGAGGTAGGGAGGCTATGGGAGTGGTCAGAGAAAGCCTGCAGGAGTCAGGGCCTCAACCACATTGTAAGGGGCAATAATGAGTTAAGCAGAGAAGAGAGATGAGTACTCCCAGTAAGGGTGCAGAGGAGGATGGGGACCTGGTGTAAAGGATTCCAGGGTCACGGCAGTGTCCTGTTCTCTGTCCAGGGAATGGCTGGCACCCAAGAGAACAGGTCAACTTTACTTCCTCTTTTGCCTGTGGGCAGAGGTGTCCAGGCATCCTCCTAAGTCCTCTAATAGGTGGCGGGGGGATCATTGAGAAGCGATACCCTAACTGTTCTCTTGCGTCAGTGTGGTGGCTGGGGCCCAGGGCCTGGGCTTTGTTGGAAGGCTCTGGAGACAGGTACTGTCACGAGAACTCTTCAGTTACTGCTATACAGACACAAGAGTGCTTTCAGCAGGGCAGACCAGGCATGCTGAGGCCTGAGGCCTGCAGGTCAGCACTGGTGTCAGCCTGGACAGGATGATGCAGTGATTTGGGACTAGCCTGGCTTGGGGGCTGAAGCTATCACTTACCCCAGTGCTGGTCTTCCCCCTGGGGACCACAGTGCTGTAGGTCCCTGAGAGGGTGGGAGAAGACATGCCTTTTGGTTGCACTTGACGTCGATCACCATGCCCTAACTGAACCCCTGACCTGCCAGGGCTGGATTGGTAACCTTACTTTTTCTTTTTCTTTTCTTTCTTTCTTTCTTTTTTTCTTTTTTTTTTTGAGATGGAGTCTCGCCCTGTCACCCAGGCTGGAGTGCAGTGGCGTGATCTCTGCTCACTGCAAGCTCCGCCTCCTGGATTCACGCCATTCCCCTGCCTCAGCCTCCTGAGTAGCTGGGTCTACAGGCGCCCACCATCACGCCTAGCTAATTTTTTTTAATTTTAATTTTTAGTAGAGACAGGGTTTCACCGTGTTAGCCAGGATGGTCTCGATCTGCTGACCTTGTGACCTGCCCGCCTCAGCCTCCCAAACTGCTGGGATTACAGGCATGAGCCACCACGCCCAGCCGGTAACCTTACTTTTTCATAACACTTGAAGTTTTATCTTAGACTCCACATTTTGAAAGACTTTCCAACCAAGTTGCATTACTCAAAGCTGTTTTCCTGTTTCTGGTCAGCACACACATGGAAGTATGAAACAGTCTCTGTGGCCACATAGACACCACAACTATTCCAGACCAATGCAAGGAAATGGGATGTTTAGTTAGCCTGTGGGGAGATGGGAGGCTTTGGCCTTCGGAGAAGAGTAATGTCCTGTTGGAGGGGTTCATGCCCACGGGTCTCCAGGATGGGAGGATTTCTCATTTCTCCTGTAGGCCTGTGAGCTGATGAATCTCCAGAAATTGGTCAGCATCTTTCCTGGAGCCTTGGAGGCACCTGCTGGGGTGAAAAGACCAACTGGGGGTCAGGGGCTTGTCCCAGTACTGCCCCCTGGCTTACTGGTTTTCAGGAAGGCCTGCCTTCCTCCCTTTCCCCGGTATGAACCCCAAGTTGTGAGCACCCAGCCTGCCCTTTCCTGCTCCCATGGGCTCACCATGGTTACTTCCTCTGGTAGGTGGTAAACCCCTGCTCCCCACAGCCTTGCCAGGCAGCCCAAGCCATGATCCCTTAATGCCCAGCTCCTCCAGGCAGGTCTCCAGCAGCAATAGCATGAACATTGAAAAACCAGGTCTGCTCATGTTGCTGCTCTGCACACAAGCCCTCCGTGGCTCCCTCCTGCTCCCTCTGACCGGGCACGGTGGCTCACACCTGTAATCCCAGTACTTTGGGAGGCCGAGGTGGGCGGATCACTTGAGGTCAGGAGATCGAGACTAGCCTGGCCAGCATGACAAGACCCCGTCTCTACTAAAAATGCAAAAATTAGCTGGGCATGGTGGCACATACCTGTAATCCCAGCTACTTGGGAGGCTGAGGCAGGAGAATCGCTTGAACCTGGGAGGTGGAGATTGCGGTGAGCTGAGATCACACCACTGCACTCCAGCCTGGGCGACAGAGGGAGACCCCATCTCAAAAAAAATTAATAATAATAATAAGGACCTGCCTGCTGGCCTCTCCAGCCTCTCCCTCACTGGCTGGCCCAGCCCAGGTCCTGGAGGGCGTGGGGTCGTCCAGGTCCAGGCAGAAAAAGGATGGAAAGCCGAGAGAATGGCCGCCAGGGGCAGCACTCTTCATCCCAGATGACCGGGATAATGTGGAAGGCAACCAGCCGGCATTCCCTGACGCCGGTGCACTGGCAGGGCGCCGCCGGGAGAGGGGGCGACTGCAGCAGCTGTGGGCAGGGCCGGGGCCTGTTGCCTAGCGACCGGCCTCCCGGGGAGCAAGTGGGCGGGTCGCTGCGCCTCTGCTCGCGGGGCAGGAGGAATAGGTTTCTGCAGCGGCGAGCTTGGAGCGCACCTCGGAGACTCGAAATTTCCCTCTAGGTTGGGCTATGCAGTCGCCAACTTCAGCGAGTCGTCTCTGCACAGCCCTGCCTGTGACATCTATGCCCTCCTAACTTTTCTTCAGACACCACCCGCATCTTCGTATTCCATAGCACATTCTCTCGCTTTCTTTCCTTTCCGCACTTTTGCGCGTGGAGAGCCGTCTGCCTAGACTCCTTCCAGCTTCACTTAGTCATCTATTGTCCTTTCAGACTTAGTTCCGGCGCCGGCTTCTTCAGGACGCCGGACCTCAGCCTCAGCGTGGGTTAGAAGCTGGTGGGGCCTGCCCTGCCCGCTGCTGCCTTCCGTCAAGGCCGCTGACTCCACTGAGTAGATGTCCCTCCCACAGGCCCGGGAGCGTCCTGGAGGCGGTGGCAAGGGCTTTTTAGCCTCTGTCCCCAGCTTCCAGTGTGGGGCTTGGCCCTGATTAGCCCAGTGTGTGTTGCCAATGGATGGGTGAATCCAGGGCATGTGTGGTTTTCCGGGTGGAGAGTTCAGTTACCCAGTCTTTGGCCACCTACTGCGGCATCTTTTGCCTTACATTTTTGCTCTGTTTGCTGGGACATTACACGGGTCAGAAAGTCAGCTTTCGTTGAAACTATACTGTGTGCCAAGCCCTGCACTTCTTCCCTGGTTTAATCCTCACCACGACTCATGGAAGGGGTGCATTATCATCCCTGTTCTAGAAAGTGGGGCACACACAGGGATAGAGATTTGCCCAAAGTCACACCGTTTGTAAGTGGCAGAGCCCCAGGTATAATAGAAGTGTGGACAAGGGTGTGCAGAGGGCAACATGGGTCCCTGGGCACCAGTTACGGAGTTTTTAATATCCATTTTGCTTTGAGTTACCATCCTGGGATTTTTTGAACACAGAACCCATGACGCGCTCTAGTTTCTGGGCAAATTCAGGCGCAGCATAGGGAGTGCAGCCTAAGGGCGTTTACCTCCTCAACCACTGCCCACTCCATTCACCATAGCAGGCAAGGCCCCAAGGGAATCCTAAAGCTGGCATCATGGTGAGTCAGCGGGAAGAGCCCTCAGGGTCTCAGGTATAACGCCCCACTCAGCCAGAGATGTCCAGCATCTCTGTGGCTTGAGCTCCCGCTGTGGCCCAGGCTTCACCATGAGCCCCACTATGTGGCATGAGATTGGCAGAATGCTTGCTATTGTGGCCGGGATGGAGCAAGGTGGGGAGGGTTATTTTCAGAGACAGCGTCTCACTGTTACCCAGGCTGGAGTGCAGTGGTGTGACCATGGCTCACTGCAGCCTCAACCTCCCAGGCTTAAGCGTCCCTCCCACTTCAGCCTCCAGAGTAGCTAGGACTACAGGCACACCACCATGCCTGGCTAATTTTTAAATTTTTTGTAGAGATGAAGTCTCACTATGTTGCCCAAGCTGGTCTTGAACTCCTGGGCTCAAGCAGTCCTCCTGCCTTGGCCTTCCAAAGTGTTAGGATTACAGGCATGAGCCACCATACCCAGCCCACTTTTCTGAGGAGAGTGGGGTAGAGGTGCTCTGCTCCCTCTTGGAGACAAAATGTACCCTCAAGGCATGGGGGGATGGGGGATGAGGTCTTCTCCTTGCAGTCCTGGAGATTCTCACAGCTCCTTCCACTGCTGGGCACTATGATCTTGGTGGGCCTGGGCCAGGCTCCTCTTCCTGAGGCTCTGCCTGAGCCAAGGCTTCCTCTCCTTGGCTAAGGCTGGGGTCTTTGGACCTCGCTCTTCTTCCTTTCTCTTCCTAGCTGTGTACTGTTGGGCTCATCATGTCATTTTTCCAAGCCTTGCTTTGTTCTCTGGTGGCGTTGGTTCGGTGGTGCGCTGAGAATGCAGGAGTGCTTCTGTGAAACACCTTCTTTGATGGCACTGGTGTCATTGGATGCTTGAAGGCAGTGACCTTTTTGAGACCATGTCAGAGGCTAGAAATGACCAAGGCTCTTTCCTTCCTGGTGTTCCCCACATGACAGGCACTGTGCTGAATGCTTCCTGCACATTCTGTCTCTGAGTCCTCAGAGTGACCCCTCAGGCAGGCA